TCTTAATGCTGTGAGAAATTAAGTATTTTTTGTTGTTGTTGCCGCCCCCTATCTCCCCACCCTCTCTCAATTCCATACCATATCACATGTTAAATTTGATCGTATTCCCCCCATACAAACATACATTCCCACCACACACACAGCATCTTCACCACACACACAACATCACCACCAGCACACACACATCCCCATCACACACACACATCACCATCACACACACACATCACCATCACACACACATCCCCACCACACACACACATCCCCACCAAACACACAACATCCCCACCAAACACACAACATCACCATCACACACACACAACATCACCACCACACACACAACATCACCATCACACACACACAACATCACCACCACACACACATCCCCATCACACACACAACATCCCCATCCCCATCACACACACAACATCTCCACCACACACACAACATCACCACTCCTGCAGTTAGAAGACAACCCCCACTACGAACGTCTAATTCTTGATGAGTAAAAAAAATACAGAAACTTTACCACCCGGTTGTCAATTAAGTGGTTAAAATAATTACCACTAATTACTGTCTAGCTTTATGGTACGTGTTCAGCTTGTCCTTTCCTGTCAATCAAAATCCGTCCTGTTTCTATTCCCATACTACCAGTCTACTGATCCCTTTGTCCCAGTTTAATGAGCTTCTATCCCATTGTACAAATCTACTGAACATCTATCCCATTGTACAGATCTACTGAACATCTATCCCATTGTACAGATCTACTGAACATCTATCCCATAGTTCTAACATTTGAACATCTATCATTTGACCGTCGCTTATGTGGATGTGCATGTATGATTGTATATTTGTGAGCAAATATATACGTGCGTGCGTGTGTTTGTGTTAGCGTTACGATTAGTTCCTTAACCCATTAGCCACTTGACGCGGGTTTGACGCGGGTTTAACCCGCGACGGAAGCGGGCGATAACCGCGTAACGTCTTCACGCCGTGACCCCTGCCGTACTGTTTACCTCCCCTGTGGGGGTCATTCAGGTGTCAGACTCCCCTGTCACCCGCCGTGTTTACGTCAATCTACCCCCCTGCGCTACGTCCCGTTTACATTGCACCATTCAGCACGGTGCGTAGCGCGGTGTCATTGCACCGTTCAGCGGCCGCGCGAAAGCTCCGGTTGGATACAATATCTAAAATCCCCTTATCCGGAACCCGACCAAATATTTCCCACCGTCCATTTCTAAAACACGGCTTTTATTAGAACCCAAACCCGCGAAATTGGTTTAAGCAAAACATTTTTTTTTACTATCGTACGCTTGGTTTTTAAACAAATTTCCACAGCCGCTCATGTTTCTATAAATAGATAATTCGCACAAGTGACACGTAGCAATCAAACTTAAAAACTTCAACCGGGCGAGCAGAAGTATAGTTTAAAAACAGTTTTCGCCGATCAATCCTAAAGGACAGAAAAAAAAGTAAACTTTTTGCTTGAGTTATCTTTCCTGCTTTACTGCTGTATATTTCGCTGATCTCCCCTGTATGACTCGATCAATGCAACATCAAGTTAATGCGAGCTCTTTAGTGTATTATGTTTAATTTTAACAATTACTGTTATTCGAGAGTTGTCCCGCCTTCCATTATATTTTTCTTCTTTTATTGTCAGTTCTACAAAAAAAATTATGTATTCTTGCTTAATACGTCATACCAGTATTTTATTCTGTATAAATATATATTATTTGAATGAATAAATAAATAAATGTCTATATATATATATATATATATATATATATATATATATATATATATATATATATATATATATATATATATATAGGGGTGCATTTACAATTAATAATCTCCTTGTGCCTATATAACAAGTTATACCCTAATAATCATGTGGGTCAATTTCTGAAGCCAGGTCTAATTTAATATTTTTTCTTGAGCTAGCACGAGCTGCGATCTTTTCTCTCTGGGCTGCCGGTAATTTCCCCGTGTCCCCGGGTGATTGTGATACATTTGAATACATGTGCTGGTAGGTTGTGTTAGATTACACCCCCTCGGAGGTGTTGATACGGGCGCCACGCGAACACCCCCCAAAAAACGAAATTAACTCCATCCCGTGGCTCGACTGACCATCCACAGGCCAGTGTGAAACGGTTTTATGAGTCGCCGCTGTTGTCCACTCCCGTAGGGCAGGAAGTCTTTGTTTATTCTGTGAGCGTCATTTCGTGGACGTCCGCGCAGGAGCGATCCGTTCGTGTATCGTTTTGACTTTTATAAGCAGGGAGAATGCTCGTGAAAATACGTTTTCATGACAAAGACACACTGGCTTTGTTGATTTTAGACGTTATTTTTTTTTTCGGTGTGAGTCGAGATGGTGTTAAACTAGACCAATATCCCCGAGGGTTGAGTGACTGGTTCGTATTCTCCCCGACCCCCACTCCTATGTTTGATGAACTGTGTGATCGGTAGTGTCATCTCATCGCTTTGAGGTATATTTGACTTTTTTGTTTACCCCTCCCACCCACTCCCGTATCACGCCCTCCCCCGCCCTCACCTCGCACGTTCACCCTACCCCCAGCTGCCCGGGCGCGGGGTGACCAACTCGTCGAGCGGGAAAACATTCGCAGATCACTCATGGAGCAAATTTGGGCCCGGGGGCTGGCTCGGGCCAGGGGTTGTCACGGGGTTGTCACAGCTGGTTGTGTGGCGCTTCCTGCGGTGATTTATGAGCTGCAAACACCAGCCACGCGCTGGTCTCGTGCTCGCTGGGCTAGACTGTGGACATCCAGTCCAGTACAAGTACTCAGTGCTACCTGAACTATACCTAGTGCTGTTTGTAAATCTAGATAGTGCTACCTGCACTACTACACCCAGGGCTGCATGTAAATCTATGTTGTCTGTAGATAACCAGCCAATGCTACCTGTACCAAAGCCAGTGCTACCTGTACAACTTCTCAGTGCTACCTGTACCATTAGCCAGTGCTACATTTAAATATAGCTAGTGCTAAATATAAATCTATGCTGTTTGTAGATAACTAGCCAATGCTACCTGTACCAAAGCCAATGCTACCGGTACCACTAGCCCTTGCTGCACGTAAATTTAGATAGTGCTACCTGTAGAGAGCTAGCCGATGCTACCTGTACAACTTCCTGGTGGTACATGTACATAACTAGCTGGTCCTGTCTGTATAACTAGGCAGTACCAATAGCCAGTGCTACCTGTCCTAAAAGTTAATGCTACCTGCACCCTTATCCAGTGCTACCTGTACCATAAGCCAGTGCTACCTGTCATACCCAACACCATCCTCACTACTTTGACTAGCCAATTCTGTAGTCTTGAATGGGAATCACGGCCAAAAGTCAAATGACTTCAAGACAAAACAGCGAAAAGTCAAATGACTTTAAGACTTGGCAACCAAAAGTCGAATGACTTTAAGACGAAGCAACCAAAAGTCAAATCACTTAGATTTCTTCAAGACAAAAATGTTTGTGTTTATAATTCTATATACCCCACTCCTTTGTGTCACAAATTACTTTAATTGAACTGCACCATCTAATGATTGCAATATTAAGATGTAAATGACATATGTAGTGTTCATTGCTTTGATCATTCCCTCATTAATTTCTTCTTGCGTAACGAATCTTTCAATAGAGCTTTCAACAACTACAAGACTAATTGTAACTTAATTGTTTCGAATAGCTTAAATCTAAACAAAGCAACGTTCGGGTTTTCTTATAAAAATCGATGAATTTTTGGGGCATTGTTGAGCATTAAGTACAAAACAATTTAATTTCTTCTTTTTTCTTGCCTAAAGATACCAACCTTTAGTTTCGTCTTATTAAATCACGCACATAGAACAATCCAAGTGAAAGGTGCAACTTAAAGGCCAAATAACGGCTTGATTGGTCAATTGTTTTTTTTTCACGATACTGCCCCCTAAGTCAAATAAAGTCATCCCCAGGCTTTTAGCGTTGTTCTTAACATGACTGTACTTAACATGACTGTACTAGGTGACTTGTCGTGCAGGAGAGTTCCTCCCCTTGAGCAAGGTTTAGGACATATTTACAATTAAGCGACTATTAACCCCACGTTAACTTGGGCGCCAATTTTCTGAAATATAATTTCATCACCCGTACTTAAGTCGCCCCGGCGTTAAATGGTGATTATTTCCACACCCCCATCAAGGTGTGACGGCGATAGTTCTGGAAGAAAAAAAAATGTGCAAGGTGTTGTTTAACATGAGAGTATGTAACTGCAGGCGAAAAAACAAGAGCAGACAATTGCTAGCACTTGACAGACTTCAACCGCGCTGAAATTTTAGAAACAAGGAAACTGGGAACCTAAAGCACAGTGTATGAAGAACTGTTCGGGCTTTTTTTTTTTTAATAAAAAATGGTGTCGGAGGCTACGCCTGGTAGCGCTATCGACGTTTAGATTCTTTCATCAAGTAGTATGGGGCTCTAAAGGTGAGGCCGAGTGCGAGACTTGACGAGCATTGGCGAGAATTAGGATGGAGTGTTACAGTTTAATTGATTGCACCACTTACCCTCGGTGACCCACGGACGCGTTGGGTCGGAAAAAAAAAATATTCTCGCCCACGATTTTTTTAAAGTCTGCTTACAGATGTTCGTTAGTTTTGTGATTACTGATGAAGTTTTGTGGCAATAGTCGGCATCAGTTTTTAAATAATTTTTTTACAAATAATCGCGGTTTGTTATAGAACAATTTGTAAATAATACAAAATAAGATTCAATGTCCTTTTTTAAACTTTCACATCCAACTAAAACGTTCATGAATGCTGGTTCAAAGTAAAAAAAATAAAAAAAAATACCAAACTATTTCGAAACTAATCAAACTAATCAGGGATTAATAGATATACCTTATTAAGCCTTAATATATCAATTAATCCTTATTACTTTCCATTGTTTGATACAAAAAAAATGATGAACATATAAAAATAATGTTCCCAGTAATAATTTTGTTTTTGTCTTTTTCGCTTCAGCCCCAGTTGGACGATGGCAGTGGATATTTACATTCAGAACACAATTCAGTCATCAGGAAAGGTGAGTGATGTTTGGGTATATACCGAGGGAGGGGGCGGGGTTGGGGGGGTAGGGGTCAGTTACTTACATTCAGAACACAATTCAGTCATCAGGAAAGGTGGGTACCGTTTGGGCATTTAATGAGGGAGGGGGTGGGCGCGGGGGGTGGTGGTTTGGGGTGGGGTGAGGTACTTACATTCAGAACACAAGTTTAGGGGGGAGTAGGGGGGGGGGGGGCAGTTATGGTTTTGGAATCTGTATGGGTTTACTTTTAAAAATTTCTTCTACAAAACAATTTAATTTCTGTTTTATCAAATGATGAAATTATAACAGTCCAGATGAATACACGTGGATGAGGTTTCATCTCGTGGGTTTCACTGTGTAGGCCTGCTCACCTTTTAGCGACCTTTTTGGCCTAAACACACCGACACGTCTAAATAACTAACATAATATTAGCCTTATACTGTTAATATCTAAACAGATTAGTTGATGAAAATGTTAAACCAGCGTGGGATCCAGCCCCGCTAATTCACAACTCCAGACCGACTCACTATCGAATATACCCCCTGATGGGTCTTAATTCTAACCCTTATTTATTTTATTTCCTGTCGTCAAAAGGAGAAAAAAATCGTACACCTGTACGTGTTTATTATAATCTAAAGACCCCAACTTTAAATAGCTGAAATGACAGCTAGCGCTTTTCTCGCTTTTCACACCTTGAAACGTAACTCTATCCGCTAATTTTTATCCATCCGTGGATTCTTCCCCTTTGGTGGAAGCGGGCTCCCCGTGGAGGTTTTCTCCCAGCCCACACCTCCTTATTTGAGTCGCGTCCCCTTACCGTCACTACGGGTCAGGTGTTTGGGTAAATGGGGGACAATCCAACATTTTAACAAGCGCTGTTTGCCACCATTCCACCCGCGCACCTTGACAAACTAGCTGATTAAGATACGAAAGGAGAATCATTTTTTTTTTTCATAACAGTTCCCTTGTCGGAACGGTCGGTATTGTCTCCTACCCCCCCCCCCCCCCCCCCAAGTGGACTGTGGTCTCTTTAAAAGGTTCACAGGCGTATAACTTCCGGTAAATGAGACGAGACGGGGGTAACACGACCCGTGTAATGGCGGCTGGAGATTCTCGCCTCAGCTCTCGGTTCGTGAAGGAGACGAGATAGTCTTTGACACGACGCCGTATCAACTCAACTGAGAGCTTCGCGGAGACATTTCACTACAGACAAATTTCGAGAGCTTCGCGGAAATTAGGTTATGGCTATATTATTTAAATTTATATATAGGCGAGGGGATATTCTGTGATGTTTGATACAGATTAAAAAATATAAGACGAAATTATCTTACATCCATATAACATAACTGAATGGACAGCAAAATATTGGCATGAGAAACAAATTTATAAAAAATATATATTAAAGTGATAAGAATAAAGTTTTATCTTCATATATGTAGATCTATAATATATTTAATGAGCTAGATATTATTTCCCAAGAGTTTAATTACGTAACTCGTCAGTAATCCCATTAGCTAGAAGAAACGTATATAACATAGATTAAAAATGTTACTTTCTTCAATATAGATAAAAAATTGCAACTTTCTCGAACGTATGTTAAAAGTGCAACTTTCTTGAACGTAGGATAGAAATTGCAACTTTCTTAAAAGCTGACCCGACATGGTTAAGCAAACACGGAAGCGTCCGTCCCGGATAAAGAGCCGGACCCGGCTTGTTACCCTCTTGGTAAACTGAAGAAGCCTTGCCGTTTACTCTGGCCGTGTGATTGGACGCTAAGAGCCATTTTCAACGAGATAACTTCTGTCGCCTCGTGTTTTGCTCGCTGTTTTAGCCGGCTTTTTACAAGAATGGGCGCGTGTTTTTCCCCCCATCCTCGGCATCCGTAATTCTATCCCGCGATGCATCTGCAGGCCTGTAACTAGATTTTCAACAAATCGAGTTAACTTTTCCGAGGGGCGATGATGAACTGGAGAAGATTTTTTGTGCGTACGGGCCGGGGAAGTTTGTGTAAAACAAAGTGACGTTGTGTGCACGGTGTAACTGCATTAAGATTTCTGAGGCGCGCGGCGTCACCAGATACTCTGATACCGATAGGGAGTGACGCCTGATCCCACGGCACCTTGGTTGGAAGGGTTCCGGAAACCGGAAGTAGAATCTGTTTTAAACTAAAAAAAAAAGACCTGTTGTGGAATAAGACTTTAGAAATAAGGCGTTGAATGCTGTGAAAAAAAAAAAAAAAAAAAAAAAAAAAAAAAAAAAAAAAAAAAAACAAGAAAAAAAAACCAAGAAAAAAAAAACCGAACATTTAAAGATGGCGAACATTTCAAACGAGGCCAGACAAAGACAACGAACAATTGTATTCGCCGTTTCGCTGAGATGGCGACGACGAAATGAGGCGAGCTGTATGACAACGGTCTCGCGATGGCCAGTAATGACCTTGAATTAGCGCGTGCTGGCTATCTGCATGCACTCAGCGGCCGACGCCCAAACAACTTTAGCAGTCCTGATTTGCAATTCCCCATCCACGCTCCGTGTCCTATTCTTGTTCATATACTTCTGTAGCAGGATAATCCACAGGGAAATGACCTTTTCCTAGCGTCGATGCCTGAGGTTTCTGGAAATAGTCATTTCACCATTTTTTGAATACAATATTTGTGTACGTAAATCTGTATTTAAAAATAGAACTCTTGTGTATGCTTTCAGGAATCCGGCCGAAAAACGAGAACAGCAAAGATTTGATCGTGTCGTCACACATTGCGTCACCCAGTGACGTCTTCTGCTCCGTGCCGGGCCGTCTGTCTCTGCTCAGCTCCACATCCAAGTACAAGGTCACCGTAGCAGAAGTTCAGAGGCGACTCTCCCCTCCAGAATGTCTCAACGCCTCTTTGTTAGGTGGCGTGTTACGAAGGTAAATATTTGTGCCCATCCTTAATCTCTAATCCAGCGACCCCCATTGCTATTTTTCTTCCTTCTTGATTCTTATGTTATATTTCCAACACGTTTTATTATCCCCCCCCCCCATCTTCCTCTTACATTCATCCAACCCTGGTTCTACAGTCCATTAAAAGCTTTAACCCGGCTCTCTACTTCTGCTGTCTCATCCCATATCTGGTCTCCAAGCCGTCATAGGACTGTCTCTACAATACTACACCACTGCTACTTTTATCAGTAGCCCAAGCCTTTAACACACGATATCATTACAATTTAGCATAAAGCATTCTATAGCTTGCGAACTTTAACACAACCCTACACATCAACATACTTCGACCAAATCATTCTACAGCGAAGCTTAACACTGCCCTATAAACACACATCAACACACTGCCCTACACACATCAACACACTTCCATCAAAACATTCTACAGCTAAATTTAACACTGCCCTACACACATCAACACACTTCCACCAAAATATTCTACAGCTAAATTTAACACTGCCCTACACACATCAACACACTTCCACCAAAATATTCTACAGCTAAATTTAACACTGCCCTACACACATCAACACACTTCCACCAAAACATTCTGCAGCTAAATTTAACACTGCCCTACACACATCAACACACTTCCACCAAAACATTCTACAGCTAAATTTAACACTGCCCTACACACATCAACACATTGCCCTACACACATCAACACACTTCCACCAAAATATTCTACAGCTAAATTTAACACTGCCCTACACACATCAACACACTTCCACCAAAACATTCTACAGCTAAATTTAACACTGCCCTACACACATCAACACACTTCCACCAAAACATTCTACAGCTAAATTTAACACTGCCCTACACACATCAACACACTTCCATCAAAACATTCTACAGCTAAATTTAACACTGCCCTACACACATCAACACACTTCCACCAAAACATTCTACAGCTAAATTTAACACTGCCCTACACACATCAACACACTTCCACCAAAATATTCTACAGCTAAATTTAACACTGCCCTACACACATCAACACACTTCCACCAAAACATTCTACAGCTAAATTTAACACTGCCCTACACACATCAACACACTTCCACCAAAACATTCTACAGCTAAATTTAACACTGCCCTACACACATCAACACACTTCCACCAAAACATTCTACAGCTAAATTTAACACTGCCCTACACACATCAACACACTTCCACCAAAACATTCTACAGCTAAATTTAACACTGCCCTACACACATCAACACACTGCCCTACACACATCAACACACTTCCACCAAAATATTCTACAGCTAAATTTAACACTGCCCTACACACATCAACACACTGCCCTACACACATCAACACACTTCCACCAAAATATTCTACAGCTAAATTTAACACTGCCCTACACACATCAACACACTTCCACCAAAACATTCTACAGCTAAGTTTAACACTGCCCTACACACATCAACACACTTCCACCAAAACATTCTACAGCTAAATTTAACACTGCCCTACACACATCAACACACTTCCATCAAAACATTCTACAGCTAAATTTAACACTGCCCTACACACATCAACACACTTCCACCAAAACATTCTACAGCTAAATTTAACACTGCCCTACACACATCAACACACTTCCACCAAAACATTCTACAGCTAAATTTAACACTGCCCTACACACATCAACACACTGCCCTACACACATCAACACACTTCCACCAAAATATTCTACAGCTAACTTTAACACTGCCCTATCAACACACATCAACACACTGCCCTACACACATCAACACACTGCCCTACACACATCAACACACTTCAACCAAAGCATTCTACAGCTTACTATCACTGCCCTATCAACACACATCAACACACTTGAACCAAAACATTCTACAGCTAACTATCACTGCCTTACACACACACACACACATGAACACACCTCCATCGATTACATGCCAGGTATGACGCGGTAATCAATTATTTTAAACTGTTGTAACATTGGGATACGTTATAAATGGAGGCCAATTATACTGTACAAAGTTATCATTTACTACACGCCATAGGAATAAAGTATTGACATACACATACTGGCGCATACAATCCATAAAGTACTCAATACACCAATCTTCCAATCCATTACGAATCGTGTGCGGTTTGATTAAAGTTTAAAACTAAATTCAACCAAGTTTTGTAAAATAGGGTGGTAGGACAGTCTTCTGTCACGCTTATCAATCTGGAAATGTTCAAGAGCCGGTCCGGCATCCGGCAATGCCGTGTCAGGCCAACTATTTTACCACTCAACCGGGAAATACGTTGTTTTTTTTTTAAAGAGATAATCGTCGTCCTTGATCCGGCTTTGATCATCCATGCGTGACAATGTTATTTACTTGTTTCAAGCGCCAGTTGTCTACTTAGGTATTTTTTTCACGACATTTGCAGGCTAATTGGTTGGGGTTGAATGGTTAGGTAGGGGGGTGGGGGGTGGGGGTGAATGGTTAGGTAGGGGGGGGGGGTTGGCGGTGGGGAAGATTGTATGAAGAATATGGACACTTATCAACCTGCGAGTCTGTAGGCCATGTAAGACTATATTTTTTAAGCTTCTGAAAATTTCTGCATCAACCCTGCATCACGGATACACCCCTCCCTCCACTCGACACCCCAACCCAACCCTCTTCCACCCCTGCCTTTATAAACTCCCACCAGGGGCTCTGCTAAATTGCAACGTACGCCCCGCTCAACGCTCCGTTCCGTCCGCAGGTCGGGCTAATCTAGCGTAAAATTTTCATTCACCGCTAGACAAAAGTCCCCATTTGTCCCGTGTTTTCCCCCCCGTCTCTCGCTTTCTTGTCTGTCGTCAGAGTTCCTGTTTGTCTGCGAACCGGGTGGGAACATGTTCATTAAAACCGGACCGGCCATCAAGGCCTGCCCCCTAACGCCTGCCCACACAATAATTCACACCTTCCTGTGTGGAAAGGGGGGGGGGGGGTTAGGGCGGAACAAGCGCGCTTACAAACAACACTAATAATTTTAGCTAAAAAAAAAGCTATAGAAAAAAGTTTCTTTTCACACCCTGGTTCAAGCCCACCCCCCTCCCCCAGTCACCTCGCGTTATCTCCTAGAACTAACATAGAGGTGGCCTGCTGTGTGCCCCACACAACCCATTCATTGACGACCGGTGTTCAAACCTCCGTCACCTCTTTGTATCCAATCAACGCCCGGCGCCCTTGATTACAAGGCAGCAGTTTGTGCCCCCCCCCCCCCTTGTATTATTGCTCACACCAACCACCTTTCACCTTCTGTCCGTGTTCCAACCCTTGTTTTGTATTCCACACGAGTAAAGTACCATTTGGTTACCGTACATCACACAACATAAAGGAAGTAGAGTTCATCTGTATCTAGAACGTCTGCTTATGAATGAGGTGGACATAAAAATTTGACATAACTTCTAAACGTTCTTATAATTTGATCTAGCCTTAAAAAGACAAACTTAAACACATTTATTATTTACACAAAACTTACAATTAAAAAACTACTGTATAACCTCTCCATAAAAACTTTCTCCAAGAAGAGTACAAACAATAAATTTTTTATTAACTCTTTAGAGAAAGACACAACTTTAAAAAAAAATGAGATTATTATCTAAATAACAAGCTATTAAATAGAAGGTTCGCGGTGCCGGATTCAATTTTGTGAATGCTTTATGAGATGTATACGATTGTATTTACCATTACAATACGGGCACGGCGAGAAAAGATTAAAGCTCATGACAGGCCAAGCGTGTCGCCGATGATTGTGGTCAGTTAAGCATGAAATGCTTCTGTCTGCAAGACGCTCAGGGTGCTTGTATACCTGCGCCGCCCCGTGTAATCTTTAACGTGCATCTATGTGAGGCTTAGACAACAATGTATGAGGAGCTATTCAGTGGCCTTCTTAACTCTTCAGGAGGTATCCACTGTAAGAAGCTAGGGGGGGGGGGGTCGGGTCTTTTGTGGGGGTGATCATATTTTGGCAAGTATTGGAGAGGATGGGGGGTTGGAGGAATGTTCTTTATAAGACTGAATAATCTCTTCCTTAACGAAAGTTTAGCCAAAGAATTTCACCTAACTTAAACTTAAGCTTCAAGCTTCTAAAGCTTTAACCTTTGTTAATGTTTTTGTGTTGGGATGAGGTTGGGGTAGTTTATGTGTGGGGAAGGGGTGGCTTTGCAGGTCAAATTGTCATTTTATACTTCACATAACACTGATGTAATGTCGTGCATAAGAATCAATCGACATCAGGTCATTCCGCATGTTCAAGTAATGCAACTACAGCTAGATATGAAGGTCATGGGTTATACTAGGTTCCTATAGTTCGTTGCGAACATCATGAGTAATAGTGGGTTCCTATAGCTCATAGTAACAGTTATGTTTTTTTTTCTGGTTTTTCTTCCAAAAATTCTTTTCACTCAGAGGTGGGGAAGGGTTTCACAGCATTGTACAAGTACACGGTATATGATAAAAGTGGAAAGTTACACTTCTGTAACATAGGTACACTTACACGGTACAAGAGTTCACCCACCAAGTTGCAAAACAAATTTAGAACACAAATGACATTTTCATGTAATGATTTTCTGCAACATCTAGAACATTCTTACCAAATATGGTTCCAGAACTCAGTGTACCAGTAAACATGTCGCCTATCAACATCTAATAAGAACATCACCTAAGAACATCAGCTAAGAACATCACCTAACCCTACGTCCACTACCCCCCCCCCCCCCCCCCGACACATGTTTAGACAACAGCATTAACCCTTTCTTTTTAAACCTGATTTTTCCCCCTCGCCAAGCTGTCGGACTTAATAATGTAACACTGTAACACCCCCCCCCATCCCGGTCTTCCTGCTTGTTCTAATGGCATCAGGAAAAAAAAACACAATCGAAAACACCAGAAAAATTTCTTAGTTGTCCCCCCCCCCCCCCCCCCCACCTTGACCTTCTATACCAAAACACCGTCTTTAGCGCTCAAAGTATCATTTCATAATAACCCCCCGTCCTCAACTATCAAATACTTACTGCGGTAGATATCCCCTCAATAAATAATACCGTTCTTGCAATTTGCAGTGTGCAATTATTTCTACCAATACCTACCAACCACTCAAATGCATCACTTAGTGGGGAGGTAATATTGGCTTGGGCTGATAAATGGTAATGACGATATCACTTAACCTGAGGCATGGTCCTGGATATTATTACATTTAGCGTAACGCGCTCAATTCTTCGCGGCAGCGATCATACAACATGGGAAACTCGGTGACATCCAATTCAAAGTGTCTGGTAGTTTCTGTTATGTAGTCATCGGTGTGCTTTGTTTTGATGGTGGTGATGACTGCAGTGAGGGTTGAGGTAACAGTTTAAACTTTGATTTAATAACGCCAACACACGTACGATTTTTAAGACTTTTAATACACGAAATAAACTAGCACAGAGTTCTGCCACGGAGCACAAGACACACACTTCCACACGATAACAAGTCTAGCATTCAACTAACTTAATTCATTCGCACGGCCCCAACTTCACCCTAAGGTAACCCAAACCCTGCCTAACCCCAGCAGTCCCGCGAGGGGCGGGCGCTTGACCTATGCATACATTAACTCGAACTTTTTACGACTGGGACAACTACAGGCTATTCAGACTTGTATCTAGTAAGGGAACGTTCAATCAAATACACTAAGGGTTATTCCTATTACAGCTATTATGATCTATCTAATCTACAATGAAACAATATAGTAGTGTGGCCATAAATACTATTAAGATTTAAACGATATTCTATCCTAGTTTTCTATCCTATGCTAATCCCAGTTATAACATCTCCCCCTTCGTCTGACAAGCTGGCAAAGCCAGCGATGATCACAAACTGATCACACTCTCTATCACATGCAACAATACGACAGATACAATAACATTCAGCTCACAAACTGATCACACTCTCTATCACATGCAACAATACAACTGATATAATAACATTCTAACATTCAGCTCCATGGCATTGGCCTTTAACAGGACAACTAATTTAATCACATTATCATAGAGATAGTTTGGGGTACAATGGCATAGTGGTAAGTAATACACCAATACAAAAAAAACAATAATAATAAAAAAAAAATTGAACAAATCAAGCTAATACAATGAAGATGGGGAAAGTTACAATGGCAATTAAGACACAAAGAAGGAAAGAATGAAATAAAAAAATAAACATTTGCCCCGTTGGCTTGGGGTTGGCCGAGAACAACGGTCAAGTTTCCAACAACGATGGGACTGGATGGGACCCATTGTCTGACTCTCACACGCGGGGCTATAAGTTTCAACTCTTGACACTGACATGCGCTCTCGACCTATAGCAACGGGTACAGCTGAAAATTCAAATTGTGTATACACTGGTGAATAGTTGGTATGGATACATGTGGGAAACTAGAATAACATAGAGACATGTACCCTTTCCTTTACAAGGACAGTTTAGTGCTACAGGGGTAGGGGGTGGGTGGAAAAACAATCATGATTTGGAGTGTTTGCGTGCTTGTTATCATCAGCATGTGGGGCTTACAGTTCACAATGGGAGACGAATACTACCTACCTCTTGGACGCGTCACGACCTGGAAAGCGTATCTGCTATTTTATTTTGCGCACCGGGAATATACACTATGTTGAAAACGAAATCCTGCAGTATTAACGACCACCTTGTTAATTTGGCATTACTTAATTTTTTCCTATCCAGCGTAACTAGGGGTGAGTGGTCGGTCATTAAAGTAAAGGGGGATCCTAACAAGTACTTTGATAACTTATTTACTGCCCAAACAATTGCCAAACATTCCTTTTCTATAACTGCATAATTTTTTTCTGCAGGAGATAGTTTTCTACTTATGTATAGTACCGGATGGAGCTGTCCTTCAACTTCCTGCATCAGACAAGCCCCTATACCACGAGACGATGCGTCCGTGGTCAGTGTAAACGGCTTGTTGATGTCAGGAAGTCTAAGGATTGGCTGTTGCGCGAAACACGCCTTGATGTAGTTCAAGGTGTCGTCACATTCTTTGGTCCAATGAACAGCCTTACCCATACCAGTGCCTTTGGTTTTTGTTAATTCTGTGATGGGGTGAAGTAGGCTAGCAAAATTGGGGATAAATTTCCTGTAATAGTTGCATAGCCCTAGTAGGCTCCTAACATCTTTTTTTGTTTTAGGGATTTGGAGGTCTAATATTCGTTGTACAGTATCCCCTACAGGCTTAACAAGTTGGTGGCTAATGACATGGCCCAAAAAAGTTATTTCTTGCATTCCTATCTCAATTTTACTAGGTCTAGCTGTCAACCCGTGCGATTTTAAAGATTCTAGTAGCGACCTCAACCCTTTGATGTGGTCGGTCCAATTTTGTGAAAACAGACAGATGTCATCCAAGTATGCAACCGTGTCAGGGTTATTAATTAGAACTTTCCTCATCAGTCTGTTGAATGTGGCTGGGGCATTGATCAGACCAAAACTCATGAAGTTCCAATGGTATAGACCAAAAGGTGTGATGAATGCGGTAGATTTCTTGGCCGACTCTTTTATTGGTATTTGCCAATATCCTCTTGATAGATCAAATTTGGAGAAAATTTTCGCTTGGGATATTTTAGCAAACAGTTCTTCCTGATTAGGCATTGGTTCAGCATCGGGGATGGTAATTTTATTGAGCTGTCTGTAGTCAATGCAAAGTCTTATCTCCCCATTCTTCTTTTTGGCCAGCACTATAGGCGCAGCATACGGCGAATCTGACGTTTCTATAATACCTGCATTTATGAGCTCATTAATTTCCTCCTGGACCTTATCTCTGTAGTGTAGGGGTATACTATAAGGTTGTAGCTTGATTGGTTTGTCTGAGATTAGCTTAATGTCATGCTCGATAGAGCTGGTCTTACCAGGGGTGGCAGATAGGGTATCCTTGTACTCTAGCAATAGTTTGGTAATTTCATTTTGAATTTCCGGAGTCGTGGGTCCTAATTTTACATCTCTGTATGATTCGTTATCCGACGGCAGTGTTTGGATTTCGCATTCGTCCTCATCCTTGTCTTCGTGGATCATCGCGCAACTAATTGAAGCTGTAGGTTCAGTCACGTCTAAATCAGGGGGTCTGATGTTGAATGGACTCAGAATGTTTACATGAAAAATTTTGGACTTTCCATTAATATCTATCTCATAATCGACTTTAGATATTTGTTTTAGGATGGTGTAAGGACCTCGCCAGGCGAGCTGTAGCTTATTCTCTTTGGATGGCAATAGCACTCTAACTTGATCCCCCACCCTAAACTTCCTTAGGTTCCTACCCTTATTTATCCTAAGTCTATAGAGTTCCCCTGCTTCTTCCAATGATGTTCTCGCTATTTCACAAGACCTAATAATTTGCTCACGTAGATCAACGACTTTTTCGTATGTGTTTTTGATGTCAGGGGTTAGTTTTTCATCAAGGAGCATCGACTTCATAATGTGCATGGGTCCTCTAGGATTTGCACCATAAACTAACTCAAATGGTGAGAACCCGGTGGCTGAATGTGGTAGCTCTCTATAGGCAAAAAGTAAACAGGGCAGAAATAAGTCCCAGTTACCCGAGTCTTCTTTAGGGATTTTGCTTATCATGGATTTAATCGTTCCATTTAGCCGTTCACAAACACCATTGCTCTGAGGGTGGTACGGGGAAGTAAAATTTTGCTTAATACCCAACAAACAAGAGAGTTGACGAGTTATCTCCGATGTGAATTGAGGACCTCTATCAGAAAGTATGGTGTCAGGGAAGCCTGTTCTGGAGAAGAATTGAAGTAGGCAGCTAGCAATATCTTCAGAGGTAGTGTGTTTCAGGGGGTAGGCTTCAGGCCACCTCGTCGCTAAATCAACGATAGTTAGGATAAATCTGTTTCCTCTGTGTGATGTAGGGTTTAGTGGGCCAACGATATCTACAGCAACTTTTTCGAAGGGTCTACATGCTAGATCAGTCTTTTGTAAAGGCGCCGGCTGTGGGGTCCTTTCTTTGTTCATGCAGCGGGGACATGACTGTATGTATTTAGAGATATCTTTGTCCATTCCTGGCCAATAAAACGATGTTTGTATCCGCTGTTTTGTTTTTCTCCTGCCCATGTGGCCAGCGAGAGATAAATCATGAGCTTGTCTCAATATGACTGGTCGGTATTTAAGCGGGGCTACTAGCTGGGTGTATTCTTTATGTCTGTCTTTAAATTTTCGGATTAGTGTATTGTTCTTTAAGGCAAATGAGTGTTCGGTCGTTTTGGATGTAGTTTTGGAGTTTTTACTTGCTAATTTAAAAATTTTGACAAGACTCGGGTCATTGGTTTGTTCCCTTTGGAATTCGGTCGGATCCCACATAGAGTCGTGCTTTTCGTCGTGCTTTTCTAACACCTCGGTAGGGCGGTCTGAACGTTGGATCGTCGACCCATCGTTAGCGACAACGGCCTGCTTTTCCAGCGTGCTTTCTTTAGTTACCCGTGATCTGGTTTGCGCTATATTGATTTGGTTAGCGGTTAACCACTCGGAGATTTGATCATCAGATGGACTTTGTATACCTTTCACATTTCCCAGAATCAGGTCATATGGACCTTCTTTGAAGACTACGGCTAAGACTTTGCCCGAATAATAAGGTGTTTCTATGTCGATAAAAGCAACCGGCCATTTGTGGGTAATCCCACCAAAACACTCTACATCTAACATTTCTCCTGTGAACTGGTTGGGTTTTACATATTTGTTTCTAATACCACAAATGTTCGCTCCTGTGTCTCTAAGTGTACTGACTGTTTTACCTCCTACTCTACATTTAATTGTGCCCAATGTTGTAATAGGGCTGCTGTTTAACACGAACGCGTGTCAGGCATTGTTTGCATGATTCGTGTGGTTTGTATTGTATCTGTGGCTATCATAGCGGGGCTTACGACAATATTTAGCCATGTGGCCAAATCTGTTGCAATTGAAACACTGAACAGCGTCCTGCTCGAGTGCCGGGCAATACTTTAGGGTATGACCAAACTGCTGACAATTAAAACATTGTGGGTACCTTTGCAGAGACGACGATCTGTTGTTTCCCGACCCCAATGGGTTACCTCTATACGGGCTTCTACCTCTACTGGGGTATGGTGGCGATCCTGCATCAAATGTGGGCTTTTGTTTTACCTGTGTTGTGAACATGAGGGGGGTAAATTGGGTGGCGTTGACCGACATTGGTTTGTCAGGGTGGGCTGCTTGATATTTCTGACATAAATCGGTGACGGTTTTTAGATCTCTAGGTTTTCTTTCTTGTAGGTAACTGAAAACATCCTTATCTACCGAGTTTAGGACTTTATCCACCATGACGAATTGCACCAGGGATTCAAAGGAAGGATCTAGCCCCGATGCCTCAAACCATTTTTCGAACGTCGTCTTTATTTCGTTAGCGAATATTTTGAAGTCGGCAGTGTCAGAGGGCCTAAGGCTATGAAATTTTAACCTATATGCGTTTTCTGTTAAATGGTAGTACTCTAAAAGTGTTGATTTTAGCGTCTTATATTCCTTCATCTCTTTTTCTGACAAGCTCTGACATGCATCTAACCCCTTTCCACCTATTAAAATTAACAACTGAGTACCCCACTGTGACTCTGGGACGTTCGCAGACCTAGCTATCGTTTCGAATCTTCTGATATACGAGTCTAAATTATCACTATTGTCGTCAAATTTCGGCAGTTTACTTAAGATGCACTGCGACCTACCCCCATCTACGTCTACTTGCCTTGTCCTATCCGCTTCCGCATTTAGTCTTGCTAATTCTAATTTTGTTTTAGATTCTTGTTCAATTTTGCTGGCTTCCAATTTAGCTAATTCTATTTTGGCCTCAAGTTCTAACTTAGCCGCTCCTATCCTGGCTTTCTCTAGTTCGAAGTCGAATTTGGCCTTTTCTGCTGCTGCGATTCTATTTTGTTCTAGCTCTAGTGTTTTCCTTTGTTTTTCTGCTTCCCTATCAGCTTTCCTTGCTTCTCTTTCTTCTATTTCCCTCAAGCGTTTGTCTACCCATTCGTCTAAGTTGTCACCCGATAGGTTGTTTTTCTTGCCTAAATTGTATAATTGCTCAATTTTGTCCATTATATTATTTACTTACCTTTGGTTGGGGCCTGGATTAATTTGATCGTGAGGAGTTTTCAGGTATTGTCAAGGTAATGTGAAGGATGTATAATATTAAGTCGGAGAGATTGTCTCACGAATTGTACGAAAACTGAAAGAGGATAGTGGACAGGAGAGTAACGACAAGCAAAACGTGACTAAACAGTAGACAGTACTAAGTACAAACCGAACGGTAACAACTAACACAAAATTATATATTCACAAAAAGGAGCCCTAACGTTTTTCTTAAAATAGAAAAAAAAACGCCCTCTACCCTAGGAATGTCTCCTGGTTGTGGATATATAGACCTTACAGAGGCCGTTTAGAGATCACGTAACAACAAGGGTCAAATGTCTCTAAACACACACAAATTACGTAGACAAGAGTTGAATGCTTGATGACGAGCACAGCACGTTGGGGGGGGGGGGGGGTATTATAGCAAAGTTAAACCTCAATGTTAAAATCACACATCAAATCACCGAGTTAGGGGTGGAAAATAATTAAAGGAAAGGGTACTTAACTATCATAAGAATCTGTTGTCTTGGATTGATGACGGTGGTCGTCTCAACTTGGTGGTGCTTCACGTTAGCCTTGGTGCCTTAGGTGTAGGTAGGCTTCGCCCAAGTATCAAGTAGGGATGTTGATTTCTCGTAGTAAAGTACGAATCAGATCACTTTCACAATAGAAATATCCTTGTTAAAACAGAAAACAGTTCAGTTCACGTTAGCCTTAGTGTCCTTAGGTGTAGGTAAGCTTCGCCCAAGTATCAAGTAGGGATGTTGATTTCTCGTAGTAAAGTACGAATCAGATCACTTTCACAATAGAAATATCCTTGTTAAAACAGAAAACAGTTCAGTTCACGTTAGCCTTAGTGTCCTTAGGTGTAGGTAGGCTTCGCCCAAGTATCAAGTAGGGATGTTGATTTCTCGTAGTAAAGTACGAATCAGATCACTTTCACAATAGAAATATCCTTGTTAAAACAGAAAACAGTTCAGTTCACGTTAGCCTTAGTGTCCTTAGGTGTAGGTAAGCTTCGCCCAAGTATCAAGTAGGGATGTTGATTTCTCGTAGTAAAGTACGAATCAGATCACTTTCACAATAGAAATATCCTTGTTAAAACAGAAAACAGTTCAGTTCACGTTAGCCTTAGTGTCCTTAGGTGTAGGTAAGCTTCGCCCAAGTATCAAGTAGGGATGTTGATTCCTCGTAGTAAAGCACGAATCAGATCACTTTCACAATAGAAATATCCTTGTTAAAACAGAAAACAGTTCAGCACTGGTAAGGGGTACTATCTCAGTCATATATGTTAACCAAACGTTTGCGCAGGTAGTAGCTCTCAACATTAGGGTTATCCAATACCGACAAAAAAAATATATAGTATACAATACGGTTCTTGACGATGACATTAAACGAAGACGCGTGGCAGTGTTGATGATTTAAAACTGTCTAGCACACAAAAAATTTGAAAGTTGACGGAAAAGAAACTAGTTAGATTTCGCTGCTCCACCAAATGTTATGTAGTCATCGGTGTGCTTTGTTTTGATGGTGGTGATGACTGCAGTGAGGGTTGAGGTAACAGTTTAAACTTTGATTTAATAACGCCAACACACGTACGATTTTTAAGACTTTTAATACACGAAATAAACTAGCACAGAGTTCTGCCACGGAGCACAAGACACACACTTCCACACGATAACAAGTCTAGCATTCAACTAACTTAATTCATTCGCACGGCCCCAACTTCACCCTAAGGTAACCCAAACCCTGCCTAACCCCAGCAGTCCCGCGAGGGGCGGGCGCTTGACCTATGCATACATTAACTCGAACTTTTTACGACTGGGACAACTACAGGCTATTCAGACTTGTATCTAGTAAGGGAACGTTCAATCAAATACACTAAGGGTTATTCCTATTACAGCTATTATGATCTATCTAATCTACAATGAAACAATATAGTAGTGTGGCCATAAATACTATTAAGATTTAAACGATATTCTATCCTAGTTTTCTATCCTATGCTAATCCCAGTTATAACAGTTTCTGTTGATGAATGAAAGCCGGTATTACACAAACTAGGCAAATAATTTAATGAATGAGCCGGGATTGCATAAATTAAGGGGTTAATTTACGACATAACCGCTTTAATACAAAAAAATTAGTCTTTTCCCAAGAAATTGTTCAAATTGCTGAATCATCGAAGTTACCCTTTTCGTATAAGTGATCTTTACATTTATTGCATAGATTATGTGCATTATATTTAAACTTATAACTTAAAAGGTAATAATTATGTTAAACATTTTGTAAGGGGTGTTTAGGCGACTTTGTTCCTCGCGTTTTGATTGTCTATAACATTTTTTGTCATAACCAGATCTTTTAAATTAACCTTCTAAATTCTAACAACAGATTTAGGAACGATATTTTGCGATATTGTAAAACAAACAATATTGGAACCTATACACAGCTCTTTTGCATTTCCACTAAAAAAACATGTTTTGACATATAAATTGTGTTACACAAAATCAATATAATTTTAAAAAATTAATTAATATTCAATAATTGCTTTAAAAATATTAGTTGAAGATTGCTTTTTTTAGTTGCCTAGGCTACCAGTTGGATATCGACTGGAGCTATCCCATAATTTTTAAAACTTTCCATCTCTATGGTGTTGATGGGAACTTTAAGAGATGTGGTATGTTGTTTTGATCATACGTTTAGAATCTCATAATTCTAGACATCCGGTTGTCGCTACTGTTTTAGATTTAAATAAAAACACGATGGGATACTTGATTTAATTTTTAAAATAGGGGACGATAAACATTTTTTCCAGCAGTTTTTGTTTGCCCAGATTTTTTATTTTGTGTAGATAAACGAAATCTTAATAAACGTAATCAGGTATGGTTTCTAGAGTAAGATCTAAGGATCAAACTTTTCGATCATTTAAACATTCTAAAGGCTCTACACGACGTTTCTCTTATATGAAGCTAGTCCTACGATGTTAGTCCTATATCATGCTGGTACTACAATATGTGGGTCTTATATCGCGCTGGTACTACAATATGTGGGTCATACACGACGCTGGTACTACAATATGTGGGTCCTACACGACGCTGGTATTACAATTTATGGGTCCTACACGTCGTTGGTTTAACACTACGCGGCCGTACTTTATGTTGACCCTACACGACTTTCGTCATACACGGCGCTAGTCTCTGACGTCACTTATTCAACAAAAAAAAATTCCACTTCTTTGGAGTGTTGTTCAGATGAACACCCATAATTAGTCACGCTAATTACGGATTTACTAAATTTTCAACTTTAATTATCCACCGGTTCACGCTGATACCGGGTACATTGTTTCTAAAGTCAGACACGTGACACGTCTTTGTGTCATCTAAAGCTCAGAATTTAGTTTCAATCCGCCGCCTTCTTTTACACCAATCTACGGCAATGGTAATTTCGGCGGACGGATAAAATTTGTCCTTTCCGCGAAGTCCACGGCTCATTTGTCTGTTAGTAATATAACTCTTTGCTCAATCGAATTCAGAACGGGATTTTTTTTTCCGCTTTAGATTTTTTTTTTTTTCTAATTTTTTTTTTTCTACTTCGGTAAAAAGACTAAATCGATGCGCGTGAATGGAGGACTCAGCAAGAGGCTGCGCGGGGATCGATTGCGCAGGTTCCGGTGCGCCTTGCTCGTACATGCGCAAAAAGCGAGGAAGTAACGAGACGACTAATGCACCAATGATTGCCCTGAACCGAGGCCCAATAGAGGGCGGTGTTGACACAGGAAATAGGCGAGGGAGAACGGCGATCGAATAGATGGGGGGCGCGCAGGGTCGTAGGCGCCCCCGGATCAGAGGCGGTGATTGTTGTAGTGACCGGCAAGTTTGGTAATAGCCGGCAAATTTTGTAACGGCTGGTAGGTTAAATAAAAGCCGGCAGTTTATCTAACAGCCGGAATTTCTCAGATGTCTTAGGCGCAAAACGTTAGTATAAAGTTTAAGTTAACCTCCTCTTTAAATATCATTATTTTAAACGTATAGGGTCAAAGATCATAATAAATATAAGCACTAAAGTGGCGGGCAATATATGATTTAGCATAGATCTCACCAAATAGTAATAAAAATGCCGACAACTACAAGGCCGTTTTCTCGTGATCTTAAATACCGATTGGCCAATGCATGACTTAGTTGAAGAACGCGTGATTTCTGATTCGTATAATTTCAAGTTTAATTTAAATTCTTGTTTATCCGAAGTTGTAATTTTAACACCCTCCACTTTGACGTTGTAATTCGAATTCACACCCCCCCCCTTAAAGTTGTAATTCTAATTCACCCCCCCCCTTAAAGTTGTAATTCTAATTCCCCCCCCCCCCCCCCCCCTCCCTTAAAGTTGTAATTTTGAAGACATCTGCAAAGTTTTGAGCTTGTGTTTACACTAACAACAAAACCCCTGCCGGGCCGGCCATCCGTAACGTGCCCCCTCCCCCACCCCCAGTTTGGGCGTGAGAGGCTTGCAAATAGCTGGCCCTAAACAACAAGAGGGGAAGGAGGGGGTGCGAGGAAAAAAAAAATAATGGTGTCTTTTGAAAACAAGGAGCGCGCATCTCAAGAGCCTTTCAGAGCCTCGCCTGGACCTGAGTCTCGCTTCCGCCATCTTAGCTAAAGGAAGTTGTCATCGGAAAACAGGAGCGTAACAAATAACATTTGGGCGAGGGTTGGGTTGCAAAGGGGTTGGGTGGGGGGGGGGGGGGGACGACAGTCGGAGGGATATTATTTAAGAATAGCATGGCGATATGTGATAAAAATTGACTAATTTAGATTGTTTAAATAATTGGAGTGAAAAAAAAAAAAGAAATTGGAAAGGAAGTTTAAAAATGAAGGAGGGAGAAATAATGCTTGAAAATCGTGCTTGGTTGTTTTGTTTGAAATCAAAGGGGAAGTTGTGTCCGCATGGAGTAAGAGCCCTTGTGTCCACGTCGATGAAGAGCTTTTGGCTGAGCTTCCAGCTCTCGAGACCCGCCGTGATTGTCCGAGACGGTCCGAGA